GACATTATGTTTTTCTCGACTATTACTACACCCAACTGAAAACTATTGAAATGATTGTGTTTTGTTTTGTCGTCTTGGTCTCAGCTGCAGCTTCTTGCACGTAGTTGAACGTTTTTAATTGTTCTCCTAGATGATGGCTGTAGCGAAGGCCCGGGTTTGATTCCACCTCCAGGTCTTTCTGAGTGGAGTTTGCATGTTCTCCCTGTGTCTGTGTAGGATTCCTCGGGGTGCTCCGGTTTCTCCTACCACTAAAAACATGGATGTAATGAAGGGTTTTTCGAGGCGTTGATACCAGTTTGTTTGTCGCTTCTGTCTTCACCGTGTCTGGAGCGAAGGGAAATATAACGAGAATTATAAACCGCTTTCTATGACCTCGGTCTGAAAGTTGCGCTATATAAATAAAAATTACTTACTCACGGCAAAGTGCTGTGGGCCCCATGATGTAAACTCTGCCCAGGGCCCCGCCGTAAGCTAACAGCGCCTCTGCAGAGACTGAAAGAACGTCCTGTACGTGAATAGACACCGTTTTAATCTTGATCGCGTCGTCTTCAAACTCCAAACTCCAAACCCAGACCTGATCCGGAGATGAATGGTCACACACGCACGCGCACCGACGGATCCGCGCGCGCGTCAAAGTCACTGCGTCCACTTTTTAATCCAGTTATCCGGGACTGCGCAGACGTCCCATTTGAAGTGAAAGCTTTTCCATTCATTTATTCATTGCCTCATCTATTCTTCAGAGCCAGGAGCCAGAACGCGCGGATAGGCCCGTGTGTGCGCGTGCCAAAGCAATCCGTCTTTAGCTTCCATTAAACCAACGCCATCATTCCGCGCGAGCTCCTCTCCAACTGCCAACTTCCACTTTCTTCTCTTATCTCGTTTCTTTTGCCGTAATTGCAACTTTATTTCTAATTACATTTTTGGCTCGCCTTGTTCGGGAACATTTACCTTACAAATATTATGAAAGCGCTCGGCCTGAAATAAATAATGGGCGCGTGCTCATGAGTGAAAGTGAAAAATGTTGTGGTATTATGAGTGATATGCAAAGTGGCGTAACGCTGCGCACGCGTTTTTGGCGTAATGGCTTCGATTAATATTGTTGGAGACGTGCGTATGGGACCTTTAAGGCGTTTGGGAAACTGCTTTGGCTGTTTGTATTTTTGATATAATTAGCATCATGTTTAAACAAGCTGCAAATACTTGGAATTTTATACAATAGATTTACGTAAACTCACAAATAGAAAGGCCTTTTTAGTGATAGTATTTTTATAGGACACAGCAGTTTATATGTATCTGTATGAGACTCTTTAGCTGCAGAATGAGTTAATATCACATGTATATTGCACCGCGCAGTCCTCGTTCTACAGCCTGACTCCTGCAGCCCGTCCGTCTGAGCGGGTCTCTCTCATTTGGGGCCTCTCTGGGGTTTCTCACATTGTTCCCACTGTGTTCGAGGTTAAGCTTGTGGCTGCAGGAGGGTCTTACACAGAGAGGATCCAGGACATTTCAGAACATTTAAAAACACAAAGGGACAGTGTTGATCCCGCTCCTAAAGACCACAGGCTAAATCTGTTTGTTATTACTGTATATCCTGTGTTGATTCTCTGCTGTTGGTGAATCCACAATTTGGCTGAGACGACTGCTGTTGTGATTTAAGGATGTACAAAAATATCTTATAATTTCATTGTTCATTGTTCATTTGTTTTTGCGTAACGTCACATTTGGCCTTTTCTGTTATTGCGACATATTATATTCTTTAGTTGAAATATTTCACTTTTTGCTTAATTTTTTTTTTTTTTTTTTTTTATATCATGGCATTTTACAGCACAGAGCTTTAACTTGTCTTTTTAAACATTGCTTAGACATTCACGTCACACAGCGGCCTTTCACTGGTATCAAAATACATCACACAGCCTTTGTTAATATAATTATTGTCTTTTTAGTATGACCTGTAACTATAGCAACACATCCCATAAACACATTGCATTATGGGAAAAAAAATTAAGTATTTTACTATAAGGCCGTAAACATCAGGGTTATGGTTATAATCATTTACGTTGTTATTATAATAAGGCACGTAACTATAGCAACACGTCACACGGAAGTATTTATATAAACGTTACTAATTGGGCCTTGTATCATTATCTTAATATTTTAGTCATGAAAGTACAGTTTAAACAAGGGTTTTGTATTTCAATAAGGTTTTATCTACTGTGGAATAGTTCAAACAGTCTATCTCTATCTTTACGTGTTTTTTTACGTAAGCTTCAAACAAATGGCTTTGTTGTTACTGCGACACTGCGGGGTTTGTATTTATATTTTATGTGTATTATTAGATGTAATTCAGCTACAGACATTACTTTAAAGATATAGAAATAGTGTAGTTTTTTTTTTTACGTAAGATTGTTTTTAATATTTTTTACGTAACAACAAAAACAAGCGTTATTTTAATTTACGTAATAAGCGTAACGTGATGCTATAAATATTGTGTATAAATGTTCAAACAGACACAAGCAGATGTTATTATACCCCACATGTGTTTTGTTGTTGCCATGGTTTTGTAAAGTATAGGATTATTTCTTCCAATAGTTTTTTTCTTTACGTATAAAACTTTTGGCCTATTGTTTATTCAGATCTATATGTAACGGTAAAAACATAAACATGGACTTTTTTTTAACCATAATTATCTTTATTATGATACAGAGACGAACCTCCACAAGTGTAACGCAGTCATAATTCAGTATTCACAGTCTGTACAGTGTGTTTTTGACGCGCGCGGTCACGTACAGTCGGCCTTTTGTCTGGTTCCAGGCCGTGCGTAATCTCAGCGCTTCTTAATACGCTAAAACATATGTCCAGTGGCCTTTTCATCCTTTTTTAACACCAGCCTACAATATTGCGAGAGGAAATGAAATAGGACACTGTACACAGCCCCCAGCCGCGCGCGGGTCACGGGGTGAGCGCGCAATAATAGCCAAACACCGCCATTACGCACAGGATTGTTTTAGATGGTTTTGTTTTATATGAAGCAACCCGCGCGTGCACGTGTGGGCCCCTGAGAACCAATGTCTTCTATATCTACCCTGTAGATCCGGATTTGTGTGGGAGTCCTTTTAACATCACAAATTCGCTTCTAGGGGAGTATATAGTGGATTTAAACACGACGTGCGCCGGTGGATCCACTTCTAACGCACGCGCAGGCCTTTTATCCACTTGTGTTTTTTTAAATTCAGGCTTTACTTCATTACTTTAGTTTGATTTTTCGTTCGGGATACAGCACACAATCTCTGTTCATGAACTTCCGCGCAGTTTTAATATGCCGAGCCATTTTATATTCCCCACAACATCGCTATACAAAGCTTTTTCTGTTATTGCTTCTATTCTCCAAACGCCCCCAGAGTTGTAAAGGGCAGCAGCAGCAGCAGCAGCAGCAGCAGCAGCAGCAGCAGCAGCAGCAGAGATTCGAATTGGCCTCGCGTTTTTATTTATTATTTGTCTCTGGGTGAAAAATGATGCGCGCTGTCTCTACTGTTCATCTCAGAAAGGGAAGGCGCAGGGAGAGGGGAGCGAAGGGGGTGGGTTTGGCTTTACGCGTGCGTGTGGGGTTATGTTTCGATTTGGAAATGGTCAATTCTCTTTGGAAGATGACTCTATATCTGCTTTCCCCGCGCGTCCGCAGCACTAACTCTGCATTTCAAGAGAGTCCAGTTGCTTCTCCTCCGCGCTGGGGTCTTGTGTACAGCCGTGCGTAATTGTTTGGCACGTTGTTTTGCAGCTAATAACACAAGTTTATGAGTCGTGGCAGCTTGTGCGTGGCACTGAAGGGGGTGGGCGGGCCTTGGGGGGGCACGCACAAAGGAAGCATGTATTCCAAGGGCACTCGGTATGACGCACGAGGTTCTTATGCCAGGGATGTTAAAACAAATGCATGGAGCGAGGCCAACGCGTGCAGATTTTTACAAACAAGTGGAATGCAAATGTCTGCGGAGGTGATTTAAGAACCTGGATTAACTGATGCATTTTCTATCGATCCTAAACAACCCGAATTTGTCTCTGCGTGACAGGGGCGGTGGTAAAGGCTTTATTAGCGATTAGAGAAAGGGGAAGGCATGGAAAGGTTAGGGTAAAGCACACACACATGTAGGGGTGGTGCGGGCGCCACTTCTAATCCCTTCCAGCGCTCTCATTATTTCTGTATTTGAAGTTGGGGTGTGGAAAGTATCAAAAGATTAGTTTATAATTGATTTCAAACTCTCAAACTGCGCCTGCGTCTGTGGCAGGATTTAGAGTTACAAATTTCCTAACGTGCTGGTGTTGGTCCACTTCAGTGTTATTGTGGTGAAAAGTTGCAGCATGTTTCATAATTATATCCTTCCTTGTTCCAAATACAGATACTTCCAGTGTAAGAGGCTCCTGTGAGTGACGCTTCTAGTTCTGAGGCGTGCGTAAAAGCCGTGCGTAAAAGGAATGCATCCCAGTGCGAAAAGCAGAGCATTTATGGACACAAAGTTGTCCAAAAGCAACATTAGTGGAGTCTCACGGATGCACAGCAGACACTCGGGCTGCATTTGGCTTTTAATATTGTGTACACACTTTCTGCGCCACTGATATCATGCAGAAATATGAGAAATCTGCGTATGTGTGTGCGTGTGTGTGTGTGTGTGCGTGTGTGTGTGTGTACGTGCATGTGTGTGTGAAAGGGGGAGAAGGAGGGGGCGCGGGAGAGGGGGGTTCAGGGGCACAAACAAAAACTGAGGCCATATGACGACGACGTGCACGCGCGCATAATCCTATTTCCTCATCCGGGTGTCCGCCGCGCGCATGCAGCCATTGGAGCGATCGCCGTCACGTGGCTTCTTTAACTTTGTTCACTTGACAGAAAAGTAGGAGGGTTCAAGGGATAGGAACAGGAATAAGCCAAGACTATAACGCGATGGGATATAAATGTTAGTTATATATTTGCCCGATATTTAAGGACATAAAAAACATAGTTGTAATCGATGGCCATGAGTTCGTATTTGATCAACTCCAACTATGTGGACCCCAAGTTTCCACCGTGTGAGGAGTACTCTCAGAGCGACTATCTGCCCAGTCACTCCCCGGACTATTACAGCTCGCAGCGGCAGGACAGCGCGTTCCAAGCGGACTCCATCTACCACCACCCACACCCCCACCTCCACCACGCAGCAGCGGCCACGACCACCACCACGCTTCACCCACAGCGCGCGGACACGTCGCCTTTTACGCAGTGCCAACGCGTGCAGACGTCCACCCAGCCCGGCTCCGTGCTCATGTCCCCGCGAGGGCACGTCCTCCCCGCGATAGCCGACGCTTCCATAGCCGCTGCCGCCACCGCATCGGAGCAACGCTGCGAGTCGGTGACACCCAGCCCGCCTCCCTTACCTCCTCCACCCCCCGGACAGAGCGCCTCGTCCCCGTCGGGAGCGCGCAAAGACCCGGTGGTTTATCCCTGGATGAAGAAAGTGCACGTGAACATAGGTAGGTGGGAAACTTGTTTATGGAATCTGCTGCGTGTGTTAGTTTGGTTCGTCTGCGTAGATTGTTGAATAGTTTGTAGATAATTCTGACTATTTCAAAACACAACCATGTGATTTAAAGCCAGGAAGATTTGGAAATGTAGAGAATGGTTTACAGCCCACTCTCTTCTTCTTCTTCTTCTTCTCTCAAGTGCAGTCCTGACAAATGCCTTCAAACCTGCAGACTCTGAGTGAAACTGTCCACATTTCTCCCAACGCTCATGAAATCAACTCATTTTACGCGCAACTCTATAGAACAATTTGCAATGTTTACGTTTCGTCTTCCCCAGTCCCAAGATTTACGATCTCGTGCGTGTTTTTCTTACGCAGGGGCCAATGTAATTACACCCTCCATAAATTTTTATCGCACCTCTTCACGGCGCAGTCCGACGCTCGCCTTTTTTATGACACGGCGCGCGCGGAGCTCATAAGTTACCGTTTTTAATGCCCTGGTAATTTGACTTTAAGTGGAAGGCTTATACAAACGGTGTTCTTTACTTTGGGGGGGAGGGAGGGAGGCAAAGGTTTATGGCCGGGTTGGGATATTACGCTACAGACAAGTCGTAAAAACGGTGTGTGTGTAGAATAAAAGGGGAGAGTGTGTGGAGAAGGAGCCGCTATTTGGAGACTGCGTGAGGCGTAAGGCAGGTCACACCGCGCGCCACATGGTAAGAAAGACCTATTCTTGTGTAGTTTGTGCCTGGTTAAATCATTACCTACAGCTTTTTGTCAATGGTGCCGTGGAAGGAGCATCGCTATAGAACACACGGACCCCTCCCTTCCCCTTTAGACTTTGCTCATGCGCGCTCCACGGATTTGTTGATTGTTTGGGCTTTACACTGCGGCAAATAAAGAGTTAAAATGAGTTCTGGGTTTGTGTTTAGGTAGAAGCAGAGAAGAGGGATTCTCTGGCAGTGGGGCGGGATTTGAGCCTAAAACAAGAAGAATATAGCATGTATATGTAGCACTATTATTGAGGTCCCTTTAAATAGCAACATGAACGTGTATATTCTGAATCGTGTGTTAGTTTTAGTGCATTTTTATTCCCCTTTTCAGCTCGACCCCAATCTCTACTGCACCACAGATGATTAAACTGGGTCTCTTATTATTATAATTTATCTGACTCATTTTAGCTGTTTTTATTGGCGTTATTTACCCAGACTCCGCTCTCTTTCCACGCACATTCCTCAAGTATTATTTAAGCTTTAACCGTTTTTTTACTAAGTATTTCCCCGTTTTATTGTCATACAAGGCCAGGTCATGTTTGACGCGGTGCAGATCACAACATTAGGACAGACTTGGGTTGTGCCGAAGGGCTTTGACGTTTGACAGCGCGCCGCAGCGAAAAGAGCCAAGAGAAAGACAAGAAATAAAACACAATAGTCGAGTTAAACAGGCTCGATTAATCAGCGCGTTTTGTGGATTTGACCGACTATGGATGAGTCGTGGGAAAGAGCAGAGAGATGTGAATATATATATTTACAGGATGTGAGGATAAGACTGCAGTGTGTTTATACTTTTCAGTGATTTTATTTCCCCCACACTGAAAAACACACGCTTCTTTTCCGTATTTTATGGTTTTATTTTAAGGGAATGTTTAGTGCCAGGATCAGAACATTTGTTAAATTACTTAAATGAAGAACTGAAGGCCGTGATGCCACATGTAAAGTCTATTTCCAGTCCACACGAGGCTGTTTCTAATTCTTTTAAAATGACTTTATTCTGCTCTTTTACTCCATGTTTTCACTATAGTTTCTGCTCGTTTTAAGGCATTTGTGACCACTTTAAAAACACAGTGTCTTAATGTAAACAAGACACATTTGTGGCTTATTTTCTTTACCGTATTCACAAGTATTCTCCTTATTCACGCGTGAATCAAGTCAAATATTGCAGGTTCTTAGACTTAAACATCTTTGATTATAGCAATATTTACTCAAGTTTCAAAGCCACATAGCGTTGCATTATCTGGCAACTCTTACGTAAACGTGAAACAACATTAGTGTAAAACGTACGTCTCGTTTCACGCGTTTTCTCCGTGCATAATTTGGACCATCCCTGGATCATCCTCTTGCATTATAAACTACGTCTGTTTTGTTTCTTCTTTTTTTGCAGTGAGTACCAACTACACCGGAGGAGAACCGAAGCGCTCCCGGACCGCATACACCCGCCAGCAGGTCCTGGAGCTGGAGAAGGAGTTCCACTACAACCGCTACCTGACGCGGAGACGCCGAGTGGAGATCGCGCACACGCTCTGCCTCTCCGAGAGACAGATCAAAATATGGTTCCAAAACAGACGCATGAAGTGGAAGAAGGACCACAAATTGCCCAACACCAAAGTGCGGTCCGGGAGCAGCGGGACTCCCACCTCTCAGCCCCACACCGGCGCTCCGAGCCGGGGGAGTGCCGCGCTATAGCCCCGGGACCGACCTCCGTGCGCCATGTCCAAAAAGCCTCTAATATGGACTTCATGGTGGGACAGATTTGTTTGGATGGAGAAGGAATGTCACTGCTGCCTATGCCACTCACGATACGAAGAAATTATTATTCTTTTCTTTTGTTTTGGAGACGCGCGTTCACGATGCGCGCGGACAAAGCTGCAAACGGGACATTTCTAAAAAAACGACTTGAAATCAGGGTAATTTTCAAATGTGTTTTGGACTGAGGTAGATTTATGTTCATCACGTGGTCGAGAAGATTTCACATGGTTTGTTGACATTTCAGAAATAATATTTACATTTTGCTGCATTGGTCTAAAACGACTCAAACTCCGAATTCAAGTCGATTTAATCCACGTTGAAATCCGTGTTTTTGCAGTTACTTCTCTTTGAACTTAAGCCCAGAATAAATCAGAGACAGAAGTGGATTGACAGAAGGACCGTCACTGCTGCATATGCCATTCAAAGTCAACTATAGTATTTCATTTTCTGGAGGACGTATCTCAGATGGACGCGTGAGAACCGAAAAGACTTTATTATAAACCTGCTTTCACTGTAAAAAAATAAAAATAACATAACATAATAACTAGTTTCTTGGAGATGCCCTGGGACCATGATCTGTCAGCGGAATGGGATTGTTTTTGTTTCAATGCAAGAAAACACACGTTCAAAGGAGAATCGTTAATAATAGTTAATCGTGTAACGTTTCCGGTACAAAAAGCAAATTCCTTTTCTTTGTGGAGACAGAGACCCTCTATGGGCTTCGACAGCGTTGCGTTCCGACTGATACAGCCTTTGTCTTCACTGTACCCGGCTGTAGCTGGTCTAAAGCTGGATGTTTTTGCTCAAATTCAGAAACAATTACGGTATTCCACTGACCGATTATTCCACGTATCGACTATACTCCAAACCCGGTCGCATTTTACGTCATATTACTTTAGGTTTTATTTTGTATGTGTGTGTGTGTGTGTGTGTGTGTGTGTACGTGTGTGTGCGTGTATGTGTGTGTGTGTGTGTGTGTGTGTGGCTGTATGTGTTATATATATATATATTTTTTTGTTTTGGCTCAAGATGGATACTCATTTTCATCTTTAATCACGCCAAACTCTAAGCCCATCTGTCATGTTTACTCTGCGAAGCGCGTAACCTCCTCCTTTTTTGCACCCCCCCCCCCCCCCCCCCAAATATCCCCTCCACCACACACACACACACACACACACAGACACACACACACACACACACACACCCACACCACACGCACATCAATGAATATCAAAAGCCATGTTCTATCTTATGCCATCCACACGCGCTAAAACATTACATTTGTAGAGTCCCCACTGTGACACTAATACAGGTATCATACACTCATTCATACATTCATTCATTGTGAGACTGCGTGGCCTCGTCACTCACGCATATCCCACAAAAACGCACTATACTTTCCTCATACAGGGTCAGAACAAATAGCACTCATTCGTTCATGTTATTATCTTATGTTCAAGCATGAATTATTATTATTTGTACATTTATTTTTTCATGTTTTAAGCACTATCTCGTTCATTATTTTTTTGGGGTCGTCTCCCAAAAACCCTCAGAGTCTCACGTGCACGGGGTCAGAACAAAGAGCACTCACGGATCCACCTTAAGCACTATCACTATGACGTCACCAGTAATACCTCGCGTTTTTGTTTCTTGCTCGTTCCATGAAGTGAAGTTTCTGCAGAAGAATCCTTTGTATAAAAAGTGTGTGGGACGTTCAGATGCTAAACATTTATAACAAGTGCATGTTTCTGTTAGTCTCCTCTTTTAGGCGTTTGGATGAAAGTGTTATTTTATTTACATTCCAAAGATGTTTTATTTGATGATATATATTATTATGACAAAAGGCTGTTCCCTCAGATGTGTCTTCTCCCGCTTCAGTGTTTGTAGAAGTTTCAATAAATGAGTGGAAAATGCTACACACGTTTCTCCGTTGTCTCTTGTTTGAGTTTGATTGGACAGTTTTTAACAATGGCGCGTGCGTCGTAAACTGTTATAACTTTATTGACAAAAAAACCGTTGCAGTGACGTGAATCTCAGACATGTTCACGCTGTCACCACGTCAGTTCAAGGAAGATGGAAAAGACTTGAAAATGCAACTTGAAAATGGAAAAATATTGTTAAAATTTAATGTATTTGTGTATCCCTTAAATCACAACAAAAGTCGTCTCTGAGGACTTCACACAGTTGTAGATTCACTAACAACAGATCAGAGAATCAAACACTTATAACAAACCCATTCACAGCGGGAGGACCACTGCCATAAATGTTAGTAAATGTCCTCAAATGTTCTTAAAACACGTTCTTGTGTGTCTGAGAGCTGCGCGCGCGTCTCTGTAACTCATGAATGAACAGTTTTTACAGTGTTCAGTGTTTTTTACAGTGTTCAGTGCTAAACCCACTTTCCTTCACCACATTCTTCTCCATTACGCGCGGACTTTTCCATCTTGGCGCGCGCACGAAGCCGTCACGTCACGTGGCGTGGACACATCTCGCGGAGACGTGGCTGAGAAGCGCCATTTGATTTCATTCTCTGTTGGTTTTGCGTGGCGGCCGCGCGCGTCGGGGGCGCGCCGCTGCGTGATTAATCTGCCCGCGCGCTGACGGATCTCGGTACATTACGTGGCGTAATCTCGTTTTAAATCACACACGCCGTCCCTCCCGTTTCACTCCCGTTCTCCCGTTAATTTAACGACTGCAGATGCGTAAAAGGAGAAAAGAGGGACGTCAACCTAAACCAACGTGTGCACTGTAAAAACACACTAGATTTGAGTTTAAATTACTTTAAATGATCATTATAAAAATACAGTTTGTCTTTTCCCAAGTCATGAAAAGATCTGTCTGTGCCAAACAAATAAACTGTCTCCTTTAACATATTCTGCTGATTATAACCAGAGGAACAGGACTCTTTCATATCATTAACAAATGAGATCTGTTTGAAAAAATGAAATGAAATGAAATGAATCAATAACGAAAATTATGTCATGTTTTTTTTTTTTTCCAAATACTGTAAACATTCCTCTTCACGCTGTAAAACTCACGCCTCTTTTGGGCTCTACATAAACCATGTCCTTGTTCTACAGACATATTCTTTATTTTAGCTTTTGGTGAAAAATAAATAATAATTCCTGTAGATTCACAAAACTTTAAGAATTATTTAAATAACAACCAAACAACCATAACAATATTAATTATCTTAAACATACTGAAGTCAAACCTATATTTATTTAACTCTAACGTAAAGTCGGTGTTTTTTACAGTGCGTGTGCCTTACTTTTAAACTTTCTAAGCATTTATTAAGAATTCTCTGTTTCTCTTTTAACGCATTAATGAGTGTAATTTTGGTGTTTCTTTTCCCGCTCAATGCTCCGCAGCGCTGGGGGTTTTATACTTTTTTCTTTTATTTTTTCTATATATTACAAAAAGGGGAGCGGGCCGCGCGCCATACCTCAAACCCTGACAACCAAATAGATAATCAACAAGACGAATGACTTCTTTTGTGAGGCGCGGCTGCCGTATTAATTTTCATTTTCTTTTCTTAGAGCAGGTATCGAAAAAAAAAAATAGAACGAGGAGGAGGAGGCGCGAGAAAATAGCGTCCCTCGCCGTGAACTTTAAACAAAAAAAAGAGAAAAAAGTGCCCCCTCCTTCCTCCAAATTGGCCGCGCGTTTGTCGGAGCAGAGAAGATTCCCTATTACGCGTCGGTTGATTTCTCCGCGGGCCCGGTGCCATCGCGGCCATTTATCTGTTTTCTTTCTATTTATGGATCCGCTGTGCCCACTGCACTTTTCACTCGGAGCTGGGAATGTGTGCCAAAAAAGCAAAACAATGATAAAATAATGATAATACATGAAGTCAGGCCAACGACGCTGTTAATATTGGGGTTTAATGACGCTAATGGATGGACACGTGACCAAGAACCGGAAATGTTTACAAAACTAAAAATACACAATTTGAGATGAGAAGATTAATCCACAGAGCTGTAGGTTTTGTGCTGATTTTGGTAATTCATTCTATGTGGTGTATTGCATTTTGGAGCTGGAAACGGGTGCCAGATAAGCGAATTAGTAGATAATAAAAACACGTATTATTTTTGTGTTAGAAATATGGCTTTTTGGTTTCTATTGAGCTTTCTCAGAGGTTACCAGACTTGTCCAGGGGCCGACAACCCGCAATGTAAAAGTATTTTGAGTGGATTCAGTCTGTTCTGAGCTTGTACAATTAGCTATGACAGGGCTGAAGTTGGCTGAATGACGAAAGACCACTTCACTACAAAGAAACGTCAGTATACAAATGAAGACAACGGCTGAATTTCAAGCTATGGTCTCAAAAGCCGAGCAGTAGAGGACCACATACAAATACACAGAGGACCACAGTTGACCCGCGGGCCTCAGTTTGGACATCCCTGTACTGTCTCGTATTGCACATTGCATTTTGGATATTAATATTTGTCCTTCCTCACACCATGTAACTCCACAATCCTGTATTTTAGGCTCAAAATGTCACTAATTTCACCAAATCGGTAATCTTAACTTATAGATTTAATTTACGCTACACCGCTGCGTATTGCACTTTATAACGGAAAATTGCACCAAAAAGCGAAACAACAAAACAATGGAGAAAATACCAACCAATGAACCTGTGAGCTGTGTTTTGTACCTATAGGCTTTTTTTTTTGCTTTCACACTGGTTATCCCATGCGTATTGCACACTGGAATATTGCACCAAAGACAAAAAAGATAGAGAGAGATCAGTCAATAACATACAATAACAGATAATAACGAAACTATTCCCTGCATCTGTTCTCTTTCTACGGTGGAAATGAAACACACCGTACATTTGGAACAAAAATAGGGCAAAAAATGCAGTTGACAATTAGTGCAATATAAACTTAAAAATCAGGGAACAATGGTAAATAGCCATGTGTACTGTCCGTTAG